AAACAGTACAATTTAAAAGCTGCAAAACATAGGTTTAAGAAACGTTGTTCTGGAGTGACCTAAACTGTTAATTGATTGTCTCAATAATCTTCAGTACATTAACCGTTTGTAGAGGATAATCAATACTAGCTAGCTTGTGTTATAACAAGGTTTATAGAAACATACATATATTTTCAGTTCTTGAATCACTGTTGTCTAGTTTTCACCATTACCAAAATCAATAATTTTTTCCAATAACCTCTTCAGGATATGTGTATTAAAACATGCTAACATCTTAAATGTACGGCTATATAATCATAAGCTTGAACGTTTGGTGCACTAAATACACACAATCTTCTGTGATAAAGACGCTCATACACATGATATAAGAAAGAAGCGTAGTGCTTGTTGTCCATGTGACTAATCCAACAATATGTCCTTTCTCTATTGGTCAGGTGACACGTTCAGTTTGCCACCATGTCGTCCAATAAGAAGGGCGGCGATGAGCGTTTCCTCCGGGTTCAGAAGGACCCCAGGTTTTGGGAGATGCCCGAGAGAGAACGCAAGATCGACAAGCGCTTCCAGTCCATGTTTCACGACAAGCGCTTCACGGAGAAATACACGGTGAACAAGAGAGGCCGACCCATCAACCAAACCTCCACCGAGGACCTGAAGCGCTTCTACAACGTCTCCAGCTCAGAGGACGAAGACGACGATGAGGAGGGTGTGAAGAGCAAGAAGAAGAAAGAAGTGAAGGAGGAGCTGGTGAAGGTGGAGCTGGTGAAGGTGGAGATAGAAGTGAAAGTGGAGAAAGAAGTGAAGGTGAAGGTGGAGAAAGAAGTGAAGGTGGAGAAAGAAGTGAAGGTGGAGATAGAAGTGAAAGTGGAGAAAGAAGTGAAGGTGAAGGTGGAGAAAGAAGTGAAGGAGAGCAAAGACGTTAAAGCTGAAGGACCGCCGCCTGAACGAGGGGTCAGAGTCATAGAAGAGGGTGAGTAGATGTCTCTGAGGCTCATATTCACTGATGCAGGCTGAGGAAACGAGCACAGATTCAACATTACAACTTAATTAGTTTAGTTCGTCAGTTAGCTGAGTTTCTTCCCGTTAACTGAGTATGACACATTAATAGGTTGTTACATTTGAACATGCTCTGAGACACAGTTCCGTGACGAAAAAAACCTGTATCCCCGCTAACGGGGGCTGTAGGGTTTATCTGCTTAAACATGACAATAGCGCCAAAATAAACTACACATTATCATATTCATGCTATACATAACTAAGCACAAGAAGAGGCTGCGAAGCTAAAGTCAAGAAGAGCAACTTACTCGTTTGATGCGATGACAGAACTAACGTTCACAGGAAGTGAAGCTATGATGCGTTCAAACGCCTCTTGTAAAATACAGTCTTTCGCCCAAAACTTCCAATAACTGCTTCAAAAATCTGCCTTCATATAAACTCAAGGAACTATTGCATTTTCATTAATAAATTGCTTTGACATTTTATTTTATTAACGTCAGTATTTCTTTTTGATTCGTTGTAAACTGCTCAGGGCTGGTAAAGGTCTATAGATTTGAATAGTAGTTTGAAAAAAAACAGTTTTAATAGCCGTTTTTGATTGGCTTTTTTTAATACTTGTGTCTGGCTGGCTGATGTGCTCGATTTGAAAATGATGCAGTATTTAAACAGGACTTGCATCTTCTGCCTCTTATTCTGCAAGAAGACAAGAGCGACAGAGAAAAAATGGATTCCTATGGTAAATGGCCGAATTTAGATTAATGCTACTTGTTATTCATTCATTGTGTGCTTGCTTTAGCGCTGCCTGTTAGAATATGATTGAATTTATTAAACTAATGGTTGAAAATGATCTTTTCAGATGAACTTGTGCGTTACACTGCAGCAGAGAAGACCTTCACTGTGAGAAAAGGTAGGCTGCTTTAATATTGTTTAAGTTAGAAGTAACACACTTAGCTATTCTATCTACCTCTGGAACTAGCTAAACTAATTATAAATATGTTTATTCTTCACTGTCGGCTCACTCATTACTCTGGATCAGCCAGCTGCATGAGATACTGACGCGCTGTCAGGAGAGAGGAAAACACAGGCTCCATTTATTATCCAAAGTTACTGTACACTTTTGAATCATGTAGTTAATCTAGCATAATTAGATTGTTTAATATAGAGTCGTTATCAATTTCTTTTAAAACTCTATAAATGCCATAGAAGACGTTTGACCTGCACTTTTTTCTCATTTTGTCGATGTTAACCGGCTACAAAACATTTCTAAGGGAAGCTCTGGTTTTGTGTGTACACTATTTAGTAACGGTTGTTCTGTGTTTGTAGGGCTCCCAGTGTACTTGCTCACAGCCTCCATATGCCAGGGTGTTGAAGAGCAGATACCACACCTGACTGCTGCATATGTCCACCCAGACACATTCCTCGCGCGGAGCCTGGAGCAGCACGCCTGGAAATTTGATCGGGTGACCGGGGAGGCGCTGGTGGTCGTGCACATCGGAACCGATGATGTGGCCTCCGGACTGTCCCCAGCAGCCATCGTGGGACAAATGGAGGCCCTCATTGACCGGATCCAGCACGGCCATGCAGAGCCTCTCTATGTGGCCGTCTGCTCTATCCTCCCCCGGCCGGTGGACAACCAAAGGACGATGGGTACGGTGCGGGACACCAACCGCAGGTTCCACGAATTGTGTCGGAGGAAGAAGGACACAATTCACCTCCCTACCGGGAAACTGTTTCTCCATCACAGACAGATTATTCAAAATTATTTTACTGGGAATGGAGTCCACCTAAATGTGGAGGGGAAAAAAGTCCTCTTTAATTATTTAAAGACATTTCTTTGGCATTTTTGTAAGCATTCATAGAATGTTTACAAAAATGCCAAAGACATGTCTTTCTCACAGACAGACAGACAGACAGACAGACAGACATAGAGGCAGACAGACAGACAGACAGACACTGCGTTACTGTTAATTATTTGATTTTTATAAATGTTAATAAAAATGTGTTGCAATACTAGTATTATATTGTGCTTTCTAATATATTAACTGGGTCCATTTGGAAGAGTTTTAGACATTAATTTGTTACACACACCTACACACACTGTACAACACACACCTATGCATGGTCCTTGTTGAAATAAATACATAATAATAATCATTATAAATAATAATAATATAGAGATAGGAAATTACTGACAGGGAACCCTCTGAATCAGACTACGAGTGGCTGACTGCATCCACTCAGAGTGTCCGATTCAGAAACGTGACTCTTTCACCCTTTACGTCACAAACAAAGATGGTGGATGAGATTAGATCTATAAAACACATGGAACGATAATCAATGGGCCACAATGAAGGAGAGACTTTCTGCATCTTTTAAAACTTTACGCACAAATGTTTCACCTAAATAATGAAATGCCTCCAATGCAAATGTTAATACGGTTGTTTATTGCCGTTTCTGAAGTTTAAGAGGAAAAACAAAAAACACTATTGGACAGTAGGTGGTGGTTTGCACATTGAAGTTGTTTTGAACGAAGAAGAACAGGGAGAGAGAGGAGCTTACTTGTTCCTTACCTCTCTAGCAATAGAGAGGCGAAGTCCCTCCCCTTCCGGTGGGACTCAGACCTTATTTCGGAAAAAGTTTGTATTGATGGCAGAGATTATCAACTGTTCAGCGCAGACTACAAGCCGGAATGAAAGGATCAAAATAATTGTCAAATCAGCTGAAAAGTACCTTGATGTGAAAGGGATGCACTGGGAAAATGTGAAAGATATCCTAAATGATGACGTCCAATACCTCAGACATGGACTGGATCATCCTGATGGTGTTAATTGTACTGCAGTGGAATGCTAGAAGTTTAATTGCAAATGGACAAGAGTTCAAAAAATATATTGACAACCTGGGAGAGAAACCTAATGCTCTTTGTATTCAGGAAACATGGCTGAAACCACAACTGGATTTTATTGTGAAGGGATATACTGCAGTTAGAAGAGATAGGGACTCTGGCAGAGGGGGAGGAGTTGCAACATTCATACAGAGTGGTATAAATTATAAAGTTATGCATGTAAGTACAGATCATGAAGCAATAGTTATAAGGGTATGGAATGATAGAGGACCTATAGATATAGTAAATTATTATAATCCATGTGGGAAATTAGATCAAAGTATATTAGAGGATGCTTGGGGGTACACTGCAAGACAAAGTAATATGGTGTGGGGATTTTAATTCACATAACTCGCTCAACCCGGTATCACGGCAAGACGTGAACATGTGACGATTTACCATGCTGGGAGACGTGAAGATGTCACGATTTCGTCCCCTTCAAACGTGACAGCTACACGGTATTGTTAACCCATGTTAACCAGTGGAGAAATAACCGGAAATACCAAGCAAATGCTACCCCGACGTAATGATTTATTTTTTAATAGTCACACTCGATTACGGCGATTTTCTTGTTGCCCCAGCTGGTCGACACCTCTTTTAGCAGAAACAAAGGCTACATTAATGTATTAAATCGATGTTAATCCGTGCGTGTGGATGTGGAATTAACGGACGTGACGTTTTGCGATTGAGTTGCCAAGCAACAGCTTCGGTTCATGTTCATTTACAAACTATTCAACTACAACCGTAGTTATATTTAAAAACATGTTAGAAGGCCTCACGAAATACTTTAATGCACATTAAAATGTAAATGTGAAGGAATGTGTGTATAACAAAATACATCGGTCATTAAACGAAACCGGAAACAGAGGTAGGCAAGATCCTCAGCTCGATGATTGGATGGTTATCCGCAATGCATGCTGGGATTTGGTGTTTATGTGATGTGAAATCTGTAAACGTTTTTAAAAAATACAATAATACTTTATTCCGAGTGTGCTTGCTTTTCTCTTTGAAAGTCATCACATAACGGCATTGTAATACACGGTTCGGCTGCATTAAATATTACATATCTGCCGTAATTCTCTATTTATAGAGCCCTGCTGAGAAGACTTCTAGACAAACAGGAGAACTGCCGCCAAAACTGAAGATGTGACGTGGGCTCTAACTCTAGGGCTCTGGGTGGCGGTATGCAATTTTTAAGTTGTTTGCAATCCGCCAAAACCGAGAGAAGAAGAAGAAGAGGTAGAAGAAGAGGTGAGTGGATTAAACACCTGCAGAGGTTTCATTAAGTGTATTTACACCTGTTAGCTTAGCTTACAGTTAATCACGAATCAGAAGTTATCTTATTTAACACAACAGCTGTAATCTTAGAAGAAAGAAACTCACAAAAAAACTTGAAATGTGCGCCAACATCGGCTAACAGCTAAAGTCTAAAAGCTATCGGCTAACAGCTATTGACTACAGCCAAAGTTATTATTCCAGTTCGGCTCTGGGTGAGTAACAGTTTATTTGTAATGCTCAGCTGACTTTATGTTAGTAATTTATTACACCAGTTGTCTTTAAGACAGTTTGAGTTGTTGGGTTGGTGCTCTTTACCATAGATATGGTTTTAAATATATGCTAACTTGCTTATTAGCATCGCCATTCACCGTGACGTTGCATTTTTCCCATTGAAATGAATGGGGTTCTTCAGTTAGCAGCTAACGCTAAGCGACGGTTTAGCTCATTAGATAAATAGATATACTTTATTTAACAGGGATGCAAACTTGTCACCTTTCGGCGAAATTCGCCGTTTTGAATCCAAAATAGGTCGTTTGTGTGATTCATGTAGATCTGCAATAAAAATATGTTTGGGGTATGGGGGGGGTCTGGGACCCGGAGTAATCTGCGGCCGCGAGCTGTTATGTGCCATCATGACACGCATGGTGTTCTTTTTTATATATTATAATGAAGCGCGAGTTGTGTGCTCGAGTCTTCCTGCCTGTCGGCTCTGCTCATGGATGTATAATAAGGCTGCTGCTCCGCGATGAGGGTTTAGCTTCAGCAGCTACATTACCTACGGGCAGGGCCGGACTGGGACAATAAGTCAGGCCGGGAATTATACACCCAGCCAGGCCACTACCAGTTTTCTTTTGTGCCATTAGTGCTGCCCATAGTGATAGCCCTAAACTTTAAATCTACTACCCCAGAATAAACATATGGACATGGGTTACTAATTTAAAAAAAAGTGCAAATCTATTTAGGAACCTATCCATGTGAACATATTTTAGGTTGAGGTGGACCTCAAATCCTCTAGGGGGGTCCGGGGGCATGCTCCCCCGGTAAGATTTTTTTTTTTTAAATGTTGGACTTAAATGCATCAATCTGGTGCACTTTGAGGGGGAAATAAAGAGACTACACCCATATGAAACAGAACTGTATACATTTAAATAATCATAAATTCATAAGAACATGGCCATAACCAATAACATACCATATCCAATATGAAAAAACATTGAAACTTGTTTATTTATTTGTTTTTGGTTCATTTATAGTTGTGAGCGTGTCTAGGCTCCTGAATCAGCCTCACCTGTCTCCCTCCTCTCCCCCTGCTCCTCTTTGAGGCAGCAGCAAAGACTAGTTTTAGCTCTCACCATGTTTTTAAAGTTTATATTGCCTTTTTTCACCTAGTTTTATTATTCATCCATATTTTACTAATCACTCCCCCTTCAAATGGAAATATATGTTTACATAAATGGTGACCAAACCGTTTGAGACCCACAGAGAACTTAGACTAAGTTAACTAAACACTTTACCTCACCTGAGGCTGAGCTGTAGTTATCAGTCTCTCAGTCTGACAGGAGAGGACTCTCCTCCACCTTGTTGACAGCTCATGATATCCGTTAGCGCAGCTAGCTAGCACCAGATGCTAACAACAACAATACACGTAACCGGGGAGCGCGCTTTCTCTCTCGCTCGCTCGTGACACACATACACACACCCTCCCGAGCTTGAATGACACACAGAGACCAATCGAGGGCTTTAGTGTACGATCTGTATGAAAGTGGCCATGTCGGCAGGCCACATCATGTAGACAGCCAGTCACCCGCTGTGAGGCAGAGTCAGACCCACATTTGCGCAGCGTTGTGTTCACAATACATACATACAAAAAATAATCCTCAGGCCAGCAGGCCACTTAACAGGCCAGGCCATCGGGAAACCTCCCGGTCCTCCCGATGGCCAGTCCGGGCCTGCCTACGGATGCGTTCGTTAATATTAACTGTGTGGTCCGGAGTCACAGTGGCACAGACTGGACCGCTGGTGAACAGCGGTTAGAACGGGGCGTTCAGGTGTTCAGATCAGAGCTCCCTGTCGGAGCGGCAGAGCGTGATGTGCACTGAAAAATGTTTCTGTCACAATATTATTTAAGGAATCGTTGAGCTAACTAGCATACATTGACACTATCTGCTAACGTTAGCTTTAGCCTTCGTTTTCTAATAGTTTTTTTCATAGGCTATAAACGGAGGTGGTATAAGTATAGGTCTTGTACTTGAGTAAAAGTAGAAGCACTCAGATCTTGTACTTGAGTAAAAGTAGAAGTACTCAGATCTTGTACTTGAGTAAAAGTAGAAGTACTCAGATCTTGTACTTGAGTAAAAGTAGAAGTACTCAGATCTTGTACTTGAGTAAAAGTAGAAGTACTCAGGTTGGAGGAATACTATGTTACAGTAAAAGTACTGCATTCAAAATGTTCCTCAAGTAAAAGTAGAAAAGTATTCTCATCAAAATATAGTGAAAGTAGCGACAGTAAAAGTAGTCATTGTGCAGATTGGTCCATTTCAGAATAATATATATGATATGTTTTATAATGATTGATCATTAAAGTGTTATCAAAGCTGGTGAAGGTGCAGCTAGTTTGAATGACTTTGTATACTGCAGGGTAGCTTGTGGATTTACTCCAGGTGGAACTAAAGTCTGATTTAACACTTGATTATATTTCACATCATTCATCCAGATCTGTGAAGTCACTAAAGGGATTAAATACATGTAGTGGAGTAGAAGTACACCATGTACCTCTGAACTGTAGTTGAGTAGAAGAACAAATTAGCAAAACATTGAAATACTTAAATAAAGTACAAGTATCTCAAAATTTCTACCCAAGTATAGTACTTGTTGAGTTTATGAACTTAGTTACTTCACACCAGTGGCTATACAGATAGAAAGACTAAGCCTTGCACAGAGGCATGACAATACATTTTCAAAATGCTCAACAGTGCTGCCAAAATTATAAACTGACTGCTACACAATTAAAATAAATGCTTTTATATATTTCTATTAGATGTGACTCTTTGGCGTTTCTGTTATTATTACCACTGCTGCTTTAGTTGTTCTGACTGCTAAAATCATCTGTTATTCCTCATTTTAAAGCCGATATTCCGTGGGGTCGGGGGGCTCGGCTCCTTGTCACCTTTTTCATACCTGATGAGTTTGCATCCCTGACTTAAATAATGATTTATCTTAAACTTGGAAATGATTGTGTCACAGCAGAAGTGTTTTCAGGCATTAGACAAGTTAAACATATTTAAAAGATGCAATAAGATATAATAAAAATGAAGCATTAGCAGCAAGTTTACCCACAGGACACATATCACTAGAGCAGGGGTCGGCAACAGGCGGACCCAGACGCCGACCTACCCGGACCTATAATCGATACATTAATAGGGGATTTCAATTTTGACACACACAGTGTTTGACCAAACATTCCCTCTCAAGTCAGAACTGAGGTCACGAAAAATAAGCCCAATATGATCAGTCGACCAGGATTAAAACTAAAGCAGGGCAGGCTAACCAATGAGCACCTGCATGTGTATGAGAATGGCCCTGACATAATTTCAGCCCAGATTTACAAACTCCTGGCAGGACAAGCTCCAGCTCAATTCTCGCACTGAATAAAAAAAGGTAGTGGGGGACTGCAATATAAGAGAGAAAGAGAATCTTTAAAACTGTACAATTGTTATGATGTGTAAAGACTGATATTGTTCTATAATCGGCTGAAACTGTTAAGTCATGACGTGAAACGGTTAACAAAGAAAAAGGGAAACTCAAGCTGCTGCTACACTTTATTTGACTTATCTAAAATTAAGCACTTTTAAGATGCACATATTTTCAAAAGCTATTTTATTTATTTTCTCTTTTATTTTTAAATGCAGCCCGAGAGGAACATTACACATATCCACAGTATTTACTGTATATCTGTATAGTTCAATGTTAATTTACAATAAATATTGTTATTTTTTAATTGCACTTTCTTTATTTGATTGGCAGTCAGTTGCTGATTACATGCAGACGTTGATAAAGCTACAGGCTAATTCAATATATATCACACTAATTCATAAAGCAAGTTAGACATTTTGAAGTTCCGTACTTTGCACGGGGAGATTTTCTCTAACTGGACCTCGTTGAATTGTAGTTACCCCTGCACTAGAGTATCTAAAGAATACACAATATGCAGAAAATACTGTATACATGGAGTACATTAAACAGTCTCACTAGCTAATGTTTGCTTTTCTGTGTTAACTCAGTAATAGTTAATGACACAGATAGCGTTATAACCGTGGTTCAAACAACCATTAATGTCACTTTCTATGTGGATAAAGTCATTTTAATGAAATAAAAGTGAACAAACTGAGCTGTAAATTAGAATGTAAGTTGCTACACAGATTATGAAGAATTATATCAAAAATATTTGTATTATATTAATAATGATTTAATAATAATAACTTTTTATCGTTAATAACTATCTGACCTTTCTATCATTTTCAGCAGCATGGAGGAGAACAAGGAGACCCCTGGAGCTCAGGTCAGTGTGCACTTCATCACAATATATTCCTAATTCCAGCGTTTCCGCCAGGCGGGCGTCTTGCCGTCATTTGACGCCCTTATTTAGCTCGGAACGCCCTGAACTCGAGCCGAGGGCGTCCAGAAGAGTTGTTATCGCTTGAAATTACGAAAAGGACAAGGACATCCCTCTGTTGGAGGGGCAAAGGAGTCTGGTGGGATTATTTTCACCGCCAGCAAAGTGTACTGCCGGCAAGCCTTGACGGGGGGGTGCTAGTGGAGCACGCGCGTGAACTGGAGAAACTGAGGCTCTGGTAAACTGTGGTAACATGAAGAGCCGTTTGGGAGCCGAAAGAGCCGGCTCTTCTTAGTGAGCCGAGCCAAATGATCCGACTCACTAAAAAGAGCCAGAATTCCCATCACTAATGCGTAAAGAGGTGTTATCTATAAGGGACGGCTCAATTCAAAATTCAAGTCCAGGGTTTCCCACACATAGACTTTACTTGGGCCGCCCAGGTTTAACGGCCACCAAAGTGTATTTCGCGACCCATTCATTATTATTTTGTTTGTATACATCCACGAGCACGACCCCATCTGCAATTGATTTACTAGTGGACAATGATCCCTCACTTGCTGTACCTGTTCACTCTGCTATCGCGTGGAGGGTCTGCTAACAAGCGACCAACAGAAAGGTTAATGTTGTTGCACCTCACAAATGCCTAACACTGCTATCCCCAAATGAAGGGTCACAACCTGTGTTGAAATATACAATATGAATGCACAATATGGTTAGATATAGGTTAGAACGTTGTTGTATACGATAATACTTTAATTGTCAGATAAAGTCTGAAATGTGACTTGCGTCACAGCAGCTCCATGTGTAACATCAACATAGACAAATAAGACAAACACAATACATGAGCAACAAACATGTAACATAACAGCAGGATCAGTGAGAGCTGCTCAAATGCGGCTTTCACACCAGCGCTTTTCCCCTTTCTAGCTCCGAGCTAGAGCTTTTCTGGTTCAGCTCCGGTTTCCCTTTTCTGCTCCCGCTCTGTTCACACCGCCCAGCACCCGACTGGTGCTGCCGCTGCTGCGTCATGACGTCACCGTTTACATCGCTGATTTGCTCCCCAACGGCATTACGGCGCTCACAACAACAACAACGGGGAACTGCAGTCGGGTCGATGATCGTGTTGCTTTTAATCACACGAAGCCAGAATAAATTGAATAACGACTTCTCCAACCTTATACTTTGCTCCAGAGTGCCGTGGTTCATTGTTTATTAATGTGTTTCTGCAGCATTTACCGACCGCTGCAGTGTTGGCTGCTCTTCCACGGGAGTTTATTCTCTTCCGTTAGCTCCCGGTTAGCTCACACTGCTGCGGCCGCTCTAAAGTATTCACTGTCCGACTCACACAAGCAGCTGATACATATCCCCAGTCCCCCCTTAGCCTAAGTGAATGTGTGTCAGTCTGAATTGACGCTGTTTGGTATCACAACGCTGTTATGAAAGTTTCTCTGGTATGAAATGGGTGATGTTAGCATAGCAACCGAAGCTAAACTGACTACTTGCTATTGCTATCCTATTGTGGCATAAACCGTTTTCTACAGGCTCATTTTACCGGCGTATTTTTATTATGATTCTACTTGTGATAGTCGGACACGACAACCTGTGCAGCCCATGTATTGATTCCATCCGATAGCTGCTATAATACAAAACAACACGCCTGCCTCTCTCCACAATGATCAATAACAGTGAACGGATGGTCAAAGTAAGGTACAAATAAACAGAATCACACGAAGCCTGGTTAGTGTTGCCTGACTTTATAAAGTGTGTTTATAAGCACTACTGCTTGTAGGCAGGCATGACAGTCGACCCATGTTCAGGGGAGGTGGGTTTAGTTTCCTGCACGCCTCGACGTAAGAGAGACGTAAGCGACGCCACCTCTTAGCTCCGAAGCTCTTGCCTCTAGACCGACAATTTTTTGGAGCTGGAAGTGAACCGGATTCCGGAGCTAAGAGCCGGCGCCGCTGCGGTGTGAACAGGAAAAACCGGCGCTTTTCAGGCTCCAGCTCCGAGCCGGAGCCTGAAAAGGCGCTGGTGTGATAGGGGCAAAAGAGCCTTCAGCGTGCATCTGATCTGGATTCAGCTCTGTGTTTACTGAGAAGATTGACTCTCTTTTTTCTGTTCTCACGGTCATGGCCTTTCTCCATGGAGATCTTTTCTTGCCAGTCACTTCCTTTACCTTAGTTGGAGCAATGGCATCTATACATTTTTTTATTTTTGAATTAAAATGATCTACTAGCTCATTTACTGAGAGGTTAGCAGGGGCAAGTGTGGAAGAAACATTCGGAGTAAAAATGTCCTTAGTGTTTTCAGTTAAATATCGCTTTGTGGTTACCTCTTTTTGAACATTTGTGTGAACAGAAATAGAGCTCTCAAAGGAATGATCAGAGAGTGCAACATCAGTCACCACAACCTCAGAGATATTCAGATCCTTTGAGATCATTAAGTCCAGAGTGTGCCCCTTATTGTGCGTGGGCTCCGTCACATGCTGAGTCAGTCCATAGTTATCAAGAAACCAAAACAGTTCTTTAGCCCCTCTGTCCTGGGGGTTGTCAACATGGATGTTAAAATCACCAACAATGACTAGACGGTCAAAGTCAATACACACTATAGACAGCAGTTCAGTAAAGTCATCAATAAAAGCTAAAATAATCTAGTAAAGAGCACAGCTGAACTCCCGCAGCCCTGGGGGGCCCCTACATTGGTTGTGATGGCAGATGAAAGGGTTTTGTTAACCTTCACAAGTTGCTCTCTACTAGTGAGGAAAGTGGATTTACTTCCATTTTTGACACCAAGATGTCTGCTTGTATTGTGTTGAATGCTGCTGAGAAGTCTAGGAAGAGGGCTCTTGCATAGGTGTGACGTTTATCTGAATGTTTAGTAATGATAGGAACCAGAGTAGCAACAGTACCACCCCCTTGCTTATAGGCAAATTGGTATGGATCAAGTATGTCTTGTCCGTCACAATAGGTTTAGCTGAAGAGGTCATTCCTGTCATGGTTCTCATGGTGTCCCACACTTTTTTGAGGTCTTTGGCTTTAAAAGCATTTCCCAAAAGCTCTGTGTGCCAGTTTTGATTCCCTCAATTTGACTTTCAGTTCTCTCTCTGTCTAAGTGCTCCATAGTCTTTGTTTTTGAAAGCTATTTTCCTGGTTTTTATAACTTTTTGTTAATGTCCTTAGTCACATATGATTTATTACTTGGATAGATTTGTATTTCTTTAGTGGGAACACAGAAGTTAATATAGTCTTTGGTAACGGTAGTTATTTCATCTAGTGAACCTGAAAAATGTCCCAATCTGTCCAATCAAAACAGGCTTTCAACTGTTCCCTACTTTCATTTGTCCATGTCCTTATTACTTTCTTTTCTGGTTGACGTCCCTTCAGTTTGGTCTTATACACTGGTATCATATTCACAACATTATGATCAGAGTTCAGTATTGGTGGTCTGTATGCAGACACATGGGCTCCTTTATCATTAACAAAGCATTTGTCCAGGATATTGTCTTTCCTGCTGTGATCCCTAACATACTGCTGGAACCCAGGTAACACAGTCTCCAGGCGACATTGCTTCATGTCCCCGAGCAATATTGCCGGTGCATCGGGGTGGCTGAGTTGCAGCTCGTGAACACAGTCAGCGATGGAGCCGGCTGCCAGTGACGCTCTAACGCTGGGAGTCACGTAAACAACAAACAGTAAAATACATCCAAATTCTCTAGGCCAGTAGTTCTCAACCTTTTTACACCAAGTACCACCTGAGAAAATAGTTGGTTCTCCAATACCACCATATGACCAATGTTAAAATACAGTCTATGCACAGTTCATGCAGGACTCGGAGGCACATGTATTCATAATAACATTATTTGTTGTCAGCTCCATGTACAATGGGCAGTCAATTCAATCAATAGCTTTATTAGCATGACCATAGTTACAGACAGTATTGCCAAAGCTCTGTATAGTTGCAACATCTATACAAAAATACACACAAATAAACAGTTATAAACAAACTGCTAAGAACATGTTTTTTTTGTTTTTTACAAGGAATACAGATTCATTTAATTAATATAATACATTAATACAAAATAAAATATGATATATATATATATATATATATATATTAGGGTCGGGACTTTAACGCGTTAATTAAGATTAATTAATTACACAAAAATTAACGCGTTAAAAAAATTAACGCATTTTAATCGCACTTATTTTTGCACCGCGGAACGTTTCTCACTGGATGAGTTTCAGGCGTACCGATTATACTGGAGCACCAACTAACGTTCATGACTTCAGACAACAACAAACCACAGTGAACAACAGTGGGAAATGTTGTTTTAAAAAACGGACGGATGGAAGCGTCGATAAGAGCACGGTTGTGTGCAAATTATGCAAAAAGGAATTCGCATATCACCGCAGCACATCAAGCCTCAAGTATCACCTCAATGCAAAACATATAGCAGCTAGCGTGGACGTTAGCCTCTTTTATCGCGTTCACACCAAAAAGAGCCGGTACTAAAATGAGTTCATGAGAACCTTTTTACCCCCACGAAAGTGCCTGCTAGAGAGCAGAGAGCTGCTAGAGAGCAGGGACTTTCGCACGGCTCTCTTGTGAGAAAAGAGCTATATTTCTGATTGGCTGGGCGGATTGCAAACCACGCCCCATAAAACTCCCAAAAAGTTTTGTGAAGCTGCCATTTTATTATCCTCGCATTAGCATTATTAGCATTAGCCCAGCGCAGAAACGCAGAGAGACTAACTTATGGCAACACAAAATAAAACATGGGAGCGAGCGGTGGAGATGAGGAGGTGTCGGCGTTCTGGCGATTTACTCGGAAGGCTGCTGGGACTCCCAGCCGCTTCTACTGAAGCCAGTCCCCGGGGACTTCCGGCCGGGGACTTCGGGCGGCAGTATACGCCGTGAAGTGGTTTGCGGCCTGCCAGTAAACCCAAAGCAGAAGAAGAATAAGTGACGTCAGCGGCTTCATTTGCCTAATCCTCCCCCAGGTTCAAAGAGTTCTCATGAACCTTTGTGGGAAAAGTACTGCGGTGTGAATGCGCCTAATGGTATACTAAAATCCATGTGAAAAAAATTGCTTCTCACTGTTCTCAGGTCAAATATTTATATGTGATTAAAAATGCGATTAATTTCGATTAATTAATTACAAAGCCTCTAATTAATTAGATTAATTTTTTTAATCGAGTCCCGGCCCTAATATATATATATATATATATATATATATATATATATATATATATATATATATATATATATATATATATGAATGATGTGAGAGCTGGTGGATCAGGTCAGTCCGATTCCCTCAAACTGTGGCAGGCAGAGACAAACTGTCCTGCAACAATGCAGCTCTCTTTATATTCCCCCAGGAGTATTTTTCATTTTTAAATATTTGAGGATGCCTATGGTTGAGTTTTGGGAATAATTGTTTCCGTATAGGTTCAAAAGTTGGGCATTGTGTGAGGAAGTGCTGCTCTGTCTCCACAGCAGTTCCTCCTCACGGTTGGCATGATCGCTCCTCTTTTGGCAGCCATGTTTTTTTGTACTTGCCTGTGTCTATGGCCAGGCTGTGAGCACTCAGTCTGTTCTCTCTCTCTCTCTCTGTCTCTGTCTCTGTCTCTGTCTCTGTCTCTGTCTCTGTCTCTGTCTCTGTCTCTCTCTCTCTGTGTCTGTGTGTGTGCACCTGCATGTTTCTATGGCCAGGCTGTGAGCACTCACAGTATGCAAAGTAGTCTGGTGGGATTCTTTTCGGAGTATTGAAGATCGTTTCCCCGACATCGGCGGTGACTGCCACAGGACAACACGGAATGTACGCGATGAGCGCGGGGGTGCTAGTGGAGCTCGCTCGTAAACTGAGGCTCCGTGATAAACTGTGATAAAATGACTCACTAAAAAGAGCCGGAATTCCCACCACTAACGTAAAGAGATAGTATCTATGAGGGATGGAGCCACCCTCAAGTACACCCTGTAGCGAGTAAAACTCTTAACACAGAAAATACCTCCCCAAAACGCCTCGTTGGAGATACGTCATTGTCCATTGTTTACTTCCTGGGTACTGTGACGTAGGAATGGCCAGTAGCCGCGCCCAGAGCTATGACGCGATACGGTCATGCGTTACCCGGAACCAAATTGACCAATCCGTGGAGCCGTTATATAGGGCTGTAGCGATACACTTATCTCACGATACGATACACGATATTCAGCTCACAATACGATATATATCACGATATTCAGCCAACGATACGATTCGATACGATTCGATACACTTATATCATTTTCTGAAAGATTTTAAAGGGACAGTGTGATTTTGGTGACATCTTGTGAGTGTTCCATTGACTTGGATTGAATTAATTCAACTGAAAACTGAAAGCATCAATTATACAATATATGGCTCTGACAGAGAGTCTACAGCTTGCAAATGCTGGACAAAATGAATCAAAAGATGTGGTGAGAATTTGTTTCATTTATTGAAACAGTGCAAACTGTAGCTTACAAGCCTTTGAAACGTAAGCACATAAAGTGCAGTATCACAATGGACAATGGATAATTAAAAGGTGCAGCAGGTGGTGGAACACGGGGGATTTGAATGGGACTTCAAAATCAATGTTTTGATGGCATAAAGTACCTTAAACATACCGTCAGTTTAAATGCTGTTTTATACTGAAAAACCAGAAGTTCTTGTGCACAACCAGTTGTTAAGCTTTTATTCTGAAAATCCTTGATCTCCGGTTAGCATTTAGCATGTGGCTAATATACCATTTACTATAGAGATGAATTTAGTAGCGATATGACACGGAGTGTTGCACACCGAAACCTACTGATTTCAACACTACAACTACAGACGTCGAGATATTATTATTGTTGAATATTAAATGAAGGTACAGTTTATTTGAATACGTTTGTTTACAGACGTGGGTAGCATGAGACAACATCCGGAACTACCGGAAATGATACCAGCCGTGAGGTATTTTTGAAGTATTGATTACAGCGTTTAAAATGTATTAAATGAAAAGTCATGAAAGAGATAAGGAGGAGAAAAGGCGTGTTTAGTTATATATTTAATGTACAATGTCTGAATCCTCTGTAATGCGCAACAACGAACATTCGAGACGTGGAGGACCGGCCCCCAGCAGCGCCAACCGGCCCACAGGGAGGAGCCAGCAGAGGATATTTAACAGCTGGAAAGGTGGAGCTGTTCTCTTCCCTTCTCTCACCCAGAACACAGCTGTTTTTCTGACTGAACCATCTTCTGCTTGTAACATTACCACGCTTTTTATTGATTAAAGTATACATTTGAACCTTCTCAGAGACTCAATTAGTCTCCTTTTTAAAGCTTCTCTCCTGGACGCGAGAATAACAAACACAGTTATCAGACTTAATGTATCGATACCCGCGGCTGAAATATCGATACTTTCTCGGAAAACTAAATATCGATATATATCGCAGGATCGATTAAATTGCACAGCCCTACCGTTACGTTACGTCCTTGGAGCCGTTACGTGAAGCCCCCGCTGATTGGTCCAAATGTACCAATCCACGGACTTCCTCACACACACACACTCAGTGCAGGCAGCTCTGCTGATTTCTCCTCCCTGGCTGCAGGCTGATAACAGACAGTTGGGATCACGGCAAAATTCTCTCTGCAGACCCATTCTCACAGCGTTTATCAACCTTTTTCTTACTCAATATCAAGCCACACTTATTGTTTTTACTTCGGCTGTGACTTTGTGTGTGCTCAGGGTGAGTTTGGCTGTGTTTGGCTGTCGCTAAACCACACCTCCACGGAGCTCAGCGTGATTCACAACGTCCTGACCAATCAGAGCACACCGTGCTCACAGGGAGGGTGGGGGCTGGAGCTATTGGAGCTACAACGAGTCGTTAAAGGCAGAGTGAAATTCAGTGAACACACGTAGATGCTGTATGAGAAACCAATGTGAGTTTGGAAAATTGCACAATATATATCTATTCTAGTAGACCTCAACAATGGAATTATGATCAGTGGAAATGGCCATGACATGGGACCTCATGGAGAGTGGGGCTCTGAAAGTGTGTGTGTGGCTGTGTGTGGCTCTTTGCAGCTGGTGTTGCTCTTCTCAGATTCTGCTGAGTTACACGTTACTGCCTCCTGGTGCTGCAGAGATTTCATGAAGTGAAGGAGGTTTTCCTTCTATAAAACAGCTGTGGGCAGCAGATACTGTGAGAGTCACAGACATGAATACATAGGTAAAGGCAGACTGGTTCACAGACTCTCCTGTTTTGCCGATCCGGTGCTTGAACAAATAACTCTACACCCCTACACAAGTCAAGTCGAGTCTTTTATCAATGTTAGTCAAGCAAGTCTCAAGTCAAAAAATATGCGACTCAAGTCATGTGACTCGAGTCCCCCACCTCTGGTATATACTGTGGTTAGCATGTTGCTGTATTACTGTATCAAATATAATGCTAATATAATAAACATAAGTAGTATTTTGTTAACTCAAGGTTTATATTAAGTGAGTTTTTATTGTGTTAACTTGTGTATTTATGCTTTTTAGATTGACTTTCTCTCTTTCTCTGTCCGTCTGTTCTAGAAACTGAAAAGAAGAGAGAGACGTCACAGCTGTCAGCAATGTGACAAATCCTTTACAACATCTGGAACTTTAAATCGCCACCTGCATATTCACACTGGAGAAAAACCGTACAGCTGTGAAGAGTGTGGGGAAACTTTCACTAGATCAGATGCTCTCAAAAGACATCACCGTATTCATACAGGAGAAAAACCGTACTGCTGTGAAGAGTGTGGGACAACTTTCACTACATCAGGTGCTCTAGAATCACATCACCGTATTCACACAGGAGAAAAACCGTACAGCTGTGAAGAGTGTGGGAAAACTTTCACTAGATCAGATGCTCTCAAAAGACATCACCGTATTCATACAGGAGAAAAACCATACTGGTGTGAAGAGTGTGGGAAAACTTTCACTACATCAGGTGATCTCAAAATACATCACCGTATTCATACAGGAGAAAAACCATACTGGTGTGAAGAGTGTGGGAAAACTTTCATTAAATCAGGTGATCTCAAAATACATCACCGTATTCATACAGGAGAAAAACCATACTGGTGTGAAGAGTGTGGGAAAACTTTCACTTCATCAGGTGCTCTCAAAAGACATCACAGTATTCATACAGGAGAAAAACCGTACTGGTGTGAAGAGTGTGGAAAAACGTTCACTTCATCAGGTGCTCTCAAAAGACATCACAGTATTCATACAGGAGAAAAACCGTACTGGTGTGAAGAGTGTGGAAAAATGTTCACTAGATCAGATACTCTCAAATCACATCTTCGTGTTCACACAGGATTAAAACCATAGTGGTGGGAGTGTGGGAAAACTATGAGAGCCAAGCTAGCTGTTTCCTTCTCCTGATGTCCTGAGAGCTGTAGTTATATAGTCTCATTGAAATAAAGCTTATTTCATTCAAATGTGTCTTTTCTTCAGTGAGATATCTTTATGGATTTCCTTATGACTTGAGTCTGATTTTAAAATTCTGAGTCTGACTCAAGCAACTTAAAATGTTTGCTTTTGGGCAAAGTCATCTGAACATTGTGTACTGTGCAAGTAATCTGACACTTTACCTTTGTCCTTATATTTAGATAAAGAAATGAATCCCTATTATTGCATTTAATAATTCATATTTCACGACTCACTGTTATTGTAGCACTGACCACGTTATTGTATAAAGTGCATTCAATTGAAAACACCATAGTGTTACAGTCAAATTATGTACAATTGTAAACACAATATGTACATAAAAGTATTCACATTTAATAAATAGATAATTGACGCCTACAATATCAAAGAAATTAGAATGTAACAATTGCACTGATGGCTCTGTTTTTTGTCACCAATATTATATTTTAGTTTGCACTGCCTCCACGGCTATGGTTATGGCATGATAAGAACTGCTCTGTATTCCTAAAGTTTGACCTTTCTCGCAAAATATTTAATTGATTCAGTATAAATGATGGCAACAGCATAAACTAAGGCAAACACAGGTAAAAAAGCTTGAGTGGATACAAATCAGATGCATGAAACACATTCACTTTTGTAGACCCCAGGATTTATTTGTCATCAGCAGGTATGAATCAATTGTTAGGGTATCAATTACTTCTTGTAAACTAACATTTGTTGTTATGCAAGTCAACAACAACAACAACAACGAGATCTCACTCCACTGCAGAAGAAGAACAGGAATGATCCAGCTATTGAACCCAGTTGGATTCTTTAGGACTTTTTCTGAGCAACCATTCACCTTCATTGATTCAGTATAAAGGATGGCAACAACATAAACACAGGTAAAAAAGCTCAAGTGGATACAAATCAGATGTACAGGGAGGCTGTGGCGCAGTGCGTTGGTGTTGGGATCAGGGGAGCACAGGTTCAAACCCCACTGCAGTCAGCATGTCGTTGTGTCCCTGGGCAAGACACCTCACCCCAAATTGAGTATGTAAGTCGCTTTGGATAAAACCGTCTAACAAGTAACAAGTTCTCTGGTTCTGCAGTGGTTCCCTCCTGTCCTGAGTCACTACCCAGTCCCTTGTTCCTCTGTTTGACTGGTTTATATCCAGCTTCAGGATGCACCATGTTAGGATCCTTCATTACATTCAAATATATATAGTAGTTATTACAAAAACACATTGTTTCAAGAGAGTGTGTAACGTTTTCTATCACCAGTGAATTATCTGATCCAAAAGCAAAGCGTTTTTCAATGACGTTCACTTTGCCCTTTTCTATAGTGACAAGAGGCAGTTTACCATTATGCTGGTTAAACCAACTCCATTTTACATCTCCTTTCTTATGAGGACAGGGCAGTGTAGCATTCGTGCCCGGCAGCGCTGTTATTTGTTCAGGATCAGCTGAAAAGCAGAAAGTAGTTACACATTTATTGACCCAACAGCCTTGACAAGCTGGACAATTGATTTTCTCATGGTTTTCATTTATAGTTTTTCTATATTTAGAAAAAAAAACAGGCAAACCTAAGAAACAAGTTACATATTTGTCCGGGCTAGATTTTACCGAAAGAGCCTGTTAACTCAAATGTTTTTATTATTTTTATTTTTCATATTATGCTAATTTTCAGGTTCACATTTGTATTTTGTACGTCTACTGTAATGTGATGCTTTAATGTTCAAAAAGCTCTTTCCCAGAGAAAGTGCCTCTGGAGGGAACACAGGGATTTCAGCCTCTGCAGACCATTTACATGCACAAAAACCTGTATAACACACTACAGGAAAGGGAGAACCCAACAAATCAGAATAGAGCCCCTTTAAGCTATACTAAACAAAAGATTGTAAACTAAAACACTTTTTCAACATATCACACAGTGTGCTCTGATTGGTCGGGACGTTGCGAGGCTCGTTGCTGCTGCGAGGAGCGGACAGGTTTCCGGGTCGGCGATACAGCGAGAACAAGCGAAACTCATCCTGAGCACACACAAACACTCACAGCCGAGGTAAAAACAATAAGTGTGGTTTGATATTGAGTAAGAAAAAGGTTTATAACGCTGTGAGAATGGGTCTACGGAGAGAATTTCCCCGCTATCCCAACTCGTCTATTACCAGCGTTCAGGGATCTCTATCCAAGTCAATGGGACTCCCTTAGTTAGCCAAGGGATCCTGATGTGTGAGGTGCTCTGCAGATTGGTCCATTTGTTGTTGATTTGGGTGTTCACACGTCACAGAACCCAGGAAGCAAACAATGGAAAAAGAGAAATCTCCAACGAGGCGTTCTGGGGCAGCACAGACAGGTCTTTTCTGTGTTAGAGTTTTACTCGCTACAGGGTGTACTTTGAGGGTTTGTGACCGTTTACATTGTGCTGCAGGTCACCCTTGAAAAAGAGATATTTTGATCTCAAGGGGCTTTCACCTGGTTAAATAAAGGCTACAAACAATACATGCATAAAAACCTTCATAACACAAAAGGGGATGGGTAATAACCAGAAAAGCATGACATGGGCCCTTTAAAACAAAAAAAATGTCTGTCACTGAGAGACAGGACATCTGCTGCTGAAATATTTAATAAAGTGATTTGCACTATTTCTCTTTCACTCAATTTGACTGAAATTAGATCTGTTAGTCTAACCATTGAATATTATTATACTGTATACATGTTTTTTCAGTACAGCTTAACCATGTAGCACATTATGTACAATGTGCACATATTGTACTCACACTACCCTACTGCATTCCTTAGATACTCTATTGATACTGTATTATTCCTATTTTATTTCTACGGGTATACATACTGTATATTTCAACCATATTCGATGTAATATTGCTATATTTTGTACGTTATTATAGTTTTCTTAAGATATCCGTGTTTAGACTTTTGTTTTATGTATGCACCAAAAACACAGATAAAAAGAAAATTCGGTATCTTTTATTTGTATTCTTATCCCTGCGGGAACTCCTATCTCCTCTGTTTCACTCTGATTGATAAAGGTCTGATCTCATTACATCAGCTGGTATTTAAAACATCAACAAGTCACTGCTTCTGGTTTTCTCAAAGTACATTTTCCTGCAAGAGGAAATGCTGTTCTTTATTCCAGACAATAGTACTACAACACATCGCCTACCCTAGTTGATTAAATAAAATATATTATTTACACTCTGCAGTTGTTAATTAGCTCAGATGCTTCTAGGACTTGGTGGTGTTGGGCGGCTGGCCGATCTGCGACAGATCCGCAAACGACACGTTGGCCGAGCCTCGCTTCGCTGGTTTGGCCTGAAAAAGAGAAACAAACCAAATGTAAACAATTAAATCGCTTTTCTTGACAACATATCTCCTCTGCTCATGCATCTGATGGATAAGACACAGCAGTGATTGTTTCTGATAAAGGTGCGTACATTTTTGGTTATTTGGAATAAACAGAAAACAAGTATTTGGCATATATACGAGTCAATAAACATTTGAAGGAATATCATAATGATGCACATACAGTTTGATAAAGACAGTTGAACTCTGGGAGTTGTAGTACAACAACACCAAACTAAAATGGCATTTTTCTGCTTCCTTTTATAGCACCATTTAAGAAGTCAAAAATACATTTAATCTGCAACCATGTGCCAAAGTTTATATATTATATAAAGTATAGAGTATTTAGTATAACAAATCAATTATAATTCCAGTGTAAAATATTACATATTGACAATGCCCAGTGATTTTGGCCAGCGTCCGACCGATACTTTCTATCAGACTGGTGCATCCCTAGTGCTTAGTATCACGAATAAAGACAAATAAACTATTAACAACAACTTTTAGGAGCACTGTGTTTGTGTTCCTCTTGTGTTTTCTCTTGTCTTTATTTTTCTTAACTGTCAAAGCGTCTTTGAGTTTCATGAAAAGCGCTATAAAAGTCCCATGTATTATTATTATTATTGTGAACACCTGAGACTCATGAGGCTTCCAGCCGATCATGTAGAGGATCTCGAAGGTGGCCGGCACCGACCCGTCCTCACTGCCGTACATCTCTGAAACACACACACATAAACACATGCAATAAGGAAGCAAAAACATTGGTGTTTTATTTGACTTTTCATGAAGCAAAGCTAGCAGTTTGCTTCTGCTTCCTGTCTTTGTGCTAAGCTACAGGAGGCTAACCAGCACAAAGATGAGTTTGACCATTAAAGCTGACAGTGAGCTGAAAGTAACTTCATGTACAAAAGTACTGCACTTCAGTAAAATGTTCAGATACTTAAGAAGCTCCATTTAAAGCAACTATACTTCATCCTGATCAGATTCTGAAAGCAGACTATAAAAAGATAAATAATAAACATATTAAATATATAGAAAAATTAGTTATAAGTTAGTAATACAATTAAGATAAATAAGCACACGTCAATGGCTACAAAATTATGAAGTGAACAGAAAATAGGAAATGTACTTTTTCCAACACATTTAGTTTGCAGATAAAGATTATTTATACAAAATATAAATAAATACAAAATAATGTCTTTAATTAATGAAACTACCCGGCAGTACATACATAAGGTAAATGAGCTCCACCTGTAGCTGCTGCAACAATGAAACTAATGAACACATGAATGCTTTAATAACTATAATACAGCAATATAATATTCTGAAATGGTATTCTGCATGTTGAGTATTTTTCCTACTTTGATGTTTTTATGTTGTACTTGTATCTGAAAGAAGTTTTGAATGCAGGATTTCTACATGTAACATAGTATTGTTGCACTTCTACTCAAAGATCTGAGTACTTCTTCACGACTGAAACCTGATATCATTTGAGAATGCAAAGCAAAAACCATGAGAAGAAACACTTCAATAGAGGAAGTTAAACCAGCAGAGTTCAAACAGCGGCAGACATGTGAGTATTTGAGGCTGATGTGTCAGTGTGCATACTGAGGAACCATAACACCAGATCAGGCTTAATAAGGTCAACACTGTGGGAGAATGAGAACAG